TAACAATTTAGAAAATAAATTAGTTAGACTGATTCCCTGTGACTGTCACAAGAAGACTTTTGTCCTTTCTTGTAAATTGGGACAATCAGGGATTAAGAACAGTAGGATGGGATTGTGTCCAGTCCCCAGATTCTACCTAAGATTTCAGTCAATCTAGCTGCTAAAACTGGACTACCATCCTTAAAAATCTCAGGATTCAATCTATTGGGCCCTGCTGTTCTCTCTCGCTTCAGATTTCCTATCGCTCTCCCAACTTCATAAAGAGCCGGACTACGCACATCGATTTGCCGTTCAGGATGACTGGAGATCGTGGGCAGCCGAAATGTGGCTGAGGACCAATTGAACTGATCCCTAAAGTGTTCTGCCCATCGATCCTCTCTCCCGGATTGAGAATGAATAATACGACCTTCCTTTTCCGAAATAGCCCCACTTACATTCGGGTTCCTAATACCGGTTTCCGTGATGAGTCTGAACAACTGTCTACTGTTCCTATAGCCGCTGCATTTTCCATCTCTCTTGCTTTCCTTACCGACCACTGTTCACGATCATTGCGTAGGCTTTTTATCAGCCTACGGCTAAGCTGACTCCACTCCTAATAGTACTTAGAGCCAGGCAGGATGAGCTTTCGAGTATCCATCAGTTCGATAGATGCTACTGAAATCCACGGCTTCTCCCTAACCTTATGGTTTACCTTACTAGAAGATATCACTACTGTTTCCGAAGCCTTTTAGATATCATTCTAAGCTGCCTCATGGTGGGCATCACTTACTGCATGGTTGCCTAACTATTTTTCTAGTTGTTCCTGAAATATATTCTTGGCTATGCTATCATCAAGTTGAACTCCAAGAGGTTTCCTTGCGATATTTTTCTTGCGCCCAGTAAGGCGCAAACAAAGACGCGCTTGCACCAGAGCATGGTCCGAGTCTGAACAAGTGCTTGAGAATGAGCTGCAGTCTTCAACAAAGCCTATCCATCGATGGCTTATAGCGATGTGATCTAGTTGGGTTGGCTCTGGGGGTCTCCATGTCAAAAGGTGTTTTACCTTATGCTTAAAGTTAGTGTTTGCTCGAACCAACGATTGTCTGAGCATAGCTGCAGCAGACGGTCGCCTTTATCTAATCTTTGAGCCACGACACAATAAGATCCACACAGGTGTCTTTCCTTTACACTTAGTTCTACCTACTTGAGCTATTAAAGTCACCAAGCCATTATTATTATATCAGATCACCTAACATTTGGATGGAGTTCCTGCATGCTTTTCTATAAAACCTCATCTTTTTATCTTCGTCTGAAATGCAATCTGTGGGAGTGTAGAAACAGATACGAGGAAGAGGCAACGGACGATTGTCCCTATCCCATTCCGAGTCCGTACGTCCTGTTTGGTCGGAGACAGTATAAGCGACTGTCTATGAGGATCCAGTCTGGGAAAGCTAGTTCGACACGACGACTTAATACTATACCTACGCCGGCGAGGCCACGGGAGGCAGCATCAGGGTTACTTGAAACACGAAATGTAAACCGTGTTGTGTCTTTGTCTGAACTAGGTGAAATCGAATTGATGATTTTACTCTAGTTCTAGTTAATGAAGCCTATTGACCTATTTGACACTAGGTTCGAAATTAAAAAGCTCCGATATGTAATTTAGTACGAGGTTTCAAGAGACCAGGAATAACAATCGAAGGAAGAGTTGGCCGAGGAGATAAGCGTTATTAGGTGTAAAAAGGATTTGATTGTGACCAATTCGGTCTCGTGCGCTTTTATGGGTGAGTGTGGATGTAACTTTCCCGCTGTCCACACCGTGGAAGTTCTAGTTATTAGAAGGGGTATCGGCCACATGACTTCCGGTGGAACTCGGCCTTCATCATGAGACGTCATGATTCCTCTAAATGAAGACCTTCTAACTCCCAGAGTACAGTTATTTGGTTTGAATTATTTTTTCTTGTTGCCGTTTTTTTGGCAAGTTAGTTTTTTCCATGATGGGGTCGCCAACACACATCTCAACCCTCCTCTTTCCAGGCTTGGGACCGGCAGTAGACACTTCGGGGCTACTGCCTATTCATATGGTTTTTCAAATACTTTAACTGGATACTCTCATAGAATAGGAGTACAAAAATGACACATTTCCGTTCTGAAAAGGCGCTAAAACGGTATTTAAGACACCTAGGTTGAAAATAATTTAGAAGCACTTCTCTTACATCAAATGAAAAATATTGGTTCAACCACAACGTACTACTGCATCAAGAAATCTAGGTACACACAAAAAACCTAGATTACGTTTGGCGACGAAAGGCGTCCGTTTGTCACTCAAAAGGAGATCATACTTAGCCACAGTTCCCTTCGTGTTACACTACAGAAGCAGAGGTGCAAGGCATGTATGGTTTGCTGGTATTTAACCACAAATGTTTTCAGTGCGCCTTTGACATACGGTGGAATACTGGATTTAGATACAGAGGACTAAGAAAAAGTAATAAATTAGTTATTTCGTTCATAAAACCATACGACTATCAGCTGAGACATATGGTATTTCTTTAGGTACTTCCTACATTTACGCGTTATCACGGCTAACACGGCTTTAGATTGGACGGAGGTTTAAAGCGACTTATCAAGGATATACAATTAATTCAACTGGTAACAACCAAAAATTCAAACTAATAACTAGCCAATTAACCCTCAGAAAGGAACTGATGTCAACAATGCTATTTTAAGGAAATTAAGGTTTTCTAATAGCCTAAAAATTAAGAACTAGCAGGGATTGCCTGAGCGTTAAAAGATGATTACTAACCACTATCATTCAAATCATTAGCGAAATAGTCGATAAACATGGGAAAATCATATGGTTTTCTCTCGAAAACTCAGCCAACCGTTCAACGGATGTGGTGAGGTCAAGTCCCCTAATGGTACAATTAAGATGACACTTCTACGTCAAGCATGACGAACCGCTGCGCACACTGATGTTATGTGGGCCTACGCGATGTTAATATGTAGTGCAGTTAAGAAGATGAAAGAAACGACACTGACTCATCACGACATTCCAGAGATTGACATGCAGTTACAAACAACTTATGAATATATGTTATCTATAACTTTTTACTAAAACAATTTAGGCCTGAGTGCCTAAATGATTTTAATTATCATAGGGGATTACGCAAACCTTACTTCCATTCTTACTCAAATTGTGCTTGGTCCATCGGCCAGAAGGAAAAATCAGTTATAAGCAACATAAAGCCTATATCTAAGTTCGGGTTGCTACAATCATTTAGGAAACAACCTCTAGAACAGCGACAACAAGGATTAAGCATCGAAGTTGCGAGAAAGTAAACATACACCGAGATTAAAATTTAAAGACAACTAGCAATCTACTGGAAATGTAAATACAGATTCCTTGTAAGTGGATTCCCAGCCACGTAAACCAAACTCGATCTACTGGATATGACAGTTACGAAAGCCCTAATCAGGTAGACTGGACTCACCAATGCAGATCACCTCAAGTCGTGTAGAATGCACACATTGCTTAAGTTACTCGGGCACATTCTGGCGTGATCGGCTACAAATATTAGGTACGAGCTGACAGAACTAAACGTAAGCCCTGCGATATGTACTCGCAAATACCAAACACCCAGAATACATCTCAACGAATCTAGACCCCAGTGACGCACTCCACATGTAAGGACATTTATTCGAAAATGGACAAAACCCGATACTGATCCTTACTAAAGAACGAAGAATCCATAACACTTAAAACCCAATACAGTCACAGTACGACAAACCTGCTAAAACTAACAACAAATACATCTAATCATTCTCCTTTAAACTGAAGCAAGCAAACCACGAGTTAAAAACAATGTGAAAAACGAAATAAAATTAAAATTTTATTAGTTAAAATAAATTGGAGTAAAATTAACCTCCACGAAGACGCAGTACCAAGTGAAGGGTCGACTCTTTTTGGATATTGTAATCAGATAACGTACGACCATCTTCCAACTGCTTTCCAGCAAAGATCAAACGTTGTTGGTCGGGAGGAATTCCCTCTTTATCTTGGATCTTGGCCTTCACATTCTCAATCGTGTCACTCGGTTCAACTTCCAGAGTAATCGTCTTACCAGTCAAAGTTTTCACGAAGATTTGCATACCACCACGAAGACGTAGTACCAAGTGAAGGGTCGACTCTTTTTGGATATTGTAATCAGATAGCGTACGACCATCTTCCAGCTGCTTCCCAGCAAAGATCAAACGTTGTTGGTCAGGAGGGATTCCCTCTTTATCTTGGATCTTGGCCTTCACATTCTCAATCGTGTCACTCGGTTCAACTTCCAGAGTAATCGTCTTACCAGTCAAAGTTTTCACGAAGATTTGCATACCACCACGAAGACGTAGTACCAAGTGAAGGGTCGACTCTTTTTGGATATTGTAATCAGATAACGTACGACCATCTTCCAACTGCTTTCCAGCAAAGATCAAACGTTGTTGGTCGGGAGGAATTCCCTCTTTATCTTGGATTTTGGCCTTCACATTCTCAATCGTGTCACTCGGTTCAACTTCCAGAGTAATCGTCTTACCAGTCAAAGTTTTCACGAAGATTTGCATACCACCACGAAGACGTAGTACCAAGTGAAGGGTCGACTCTTTTTGGATATTGTAATCAGATAACGTACGACCATCTTCCAGCTGCTTCCCAGCAAAGATCAAACGTTGTTGGTCAGGAGGGATTCCCTCTTTATCTTGGATCTTGGCCTTCACATTCTCAATCGTGTCACTCGGTTCAACTTCCAGAGTAATCGTCTTACCAGTCAAAGTTTTCACGAAGATTTGCATACCACCACGAAGACGTAGTACCAAGTGAAGGGTCGACTCTTTTTGGATATTGTAATCAGATAGCGTACGACCATCTTCCAGCTGCTTCCCAGCAAAGATCAAACGTTGTTGGTCAGGAGGGATTCCCTCTTTATCTTGGATCTTGGCCTTCACATTCTCAATCGTGTCACTCGGTTCAACTTCCAGAGTAATCGTCTTACCAGTCAAAGTTTTCACGAAGATCTGCATTATCGAAGTACGAGATGAGACCAAAGGACGTAAAGAGGGAAGAAATCCTCCTGTTTATATATACTCTTACTGAGTATCTAGAATGATACTTTCAGTTTAGTGCAGTAAAACAACAGATACAATAAAATGAATTCAAACTTTTTAAATCCTTCTATAAACTAAACTTAACTTTCAAGCATTATTTGCTTTTAATTCGAAGCTCATTAACTCATCACATGTCATGATTTTTAACTGCAACTTCAGCTTCTTCTTGAAATCTATGGTGGCTTGGTGGACTTTGTTAATCTAGACATTCATGATCTCTCAGTTGATCCGACTTCCTTTTGATAGAGGCTTAATTACTTGTTGAGGTCATGAGATCCATTGCCTGATTTTGCTACAGGGAATTTGTCAGTCGATCGACAAGTAAATTTTTCAGGGTTTGGTAACATTTTAGAATGTCCTCGAGAAATACTCTGCTTGCAATTCATAAAAGTAAGGATATTTCGGATACAAATTTTTATAAATTGATTCTACAAATCTTGATCAAGCCACATATGGTATTTCTATATGACAAGATCAGTGCTATTAACTGTACCTATCTATTGCTTCGCGACCAATATGCGTCATGATGCAACTAGGATCCATTATCGACAACTGCAAAACTCTAGACTATTGAGATAATTTCAGAGGTCACTTTGCAGCTCGAAAGTATAACCCTGTTTTATTTCTCTGCACATCTTTCTATCGTCAGCATGTAATGGAACGGATGGATATGTGGGAATAGGAAGCTATTTCACATGTAGAAGGATCAATAGGTCTCATAACTGTACCCGAGGCACTACGCAGACTATCCAGTCACACTATTTGAAGCTAAACTGTACCCTTAGTTGATGCCTAACTATGAAATCCTTTACCCATTTAAGTTGTCTCTTACCGCGATTTCACTTAGACAAACATCGGCTGCTAGTGTCTTTTCCGAAGTCGATAAATGTTAAATAAGTAGGTGACTCTAGAATTTTATGGGTGCAGCGACTTTCAGGGATTATTAATAAGCCCGTAGGACATGAATAACTTGTTATGAAACTCTTCTGTTATTCATGAAGAATTCAGCTTTTGTTTGAGTACTCAAACAATATCTCTGGAATAATCTTTACGAAAACTTCAACAACTTCGGTGACCAGAATTAAGGCTCTATAGTTTTTGGGTTTGTATCTAAGGCCATTTCTGAAGACAAGACACACTATGGCATTCTTACATGATTTTGGTAATCTCCCTTAATTATTTGAGACAAAACATACAAACACCTTATTTTTTACACTATAGTATTTTGAATGCTGAAATTTTCATTTGTGTTAACCATTACTACTCGCTCCATTTTGCTGCTGAACGAGACCTGAATTAAGACCTAGTACATCCACTTGTCTGGTTTTTAAAACGAATAAAAAGAGTTAATTCATAGACTCCACAGTACTACTTCCTGCCCCATAAATTTGGGATAGTGTCTCTCTTATTAGTGTTTTGGTTTATTTATGAGTATAAGCTTTTCTTTAAACATGTTTTCAAACCTTCCTTCTCACAATCGTGTAGACTAGAGCTGGGTCGAGGCAGAAATTTTTTGGTCTTCACGATGATGAAGTTTTGTGACACCATCCTCATATACGCTTAATATGAGATCCAGTAAAGTTAATTAGAATTTCGGGTCGTACCTGGTGGCTCCCTTCAAGTGTTGTGATAACGGTGCTCATTAATTTCTGTTGGAAGGAATTTTCCAACAACCCAGTCATTAGAGCTTTCTAGTCTATCGTGGTTACTTTAAAGTCTACCAAAATAAAACACTGACCGCTTGGAAACCAAGTGTAGAGTCCACTTAGAAAAACCTCATACACCTCACAGTTAAGATCGCCATAAGACAAAACAATCAACAGTCCTCGTTTATTTTGCACTTCAAGCGGCGGCTAACTGACTGTGATATGTTATCGATAACATCAGTGTTTCAAATTATTAATGTCACTCCTTATCCTTTAGGCCTATAGGTTCTGTTGGCTTTCTCTAACGTAGAATTTTCGAAATCAAGTTCTTGATTGTCAACAAACAGTATCACTCGAATTCATGTTATGGCGGATGCATCTGGTCAGGTAGATTAAATCTACACATCCACCTCTGATGGCTTGTCAAACATACTCTTGGCATTCTTATAACAAATCTGATAACAACTTAAATGGCTCCACGCTGCACGTAAAAATTCACAGATATAATGTCCTCCTACTTATTTTTCAGTTTTTTGCTTTTTCGTACGGTCTGTAAACAACAAAACTTCCTAGTCCTCCTAGTTTACGTCCATTCTATAGAATCAGTTCCTTTAATTAATTGTTTTAAAAACCGTCTTTGGCAGACTGTTTATAGCGACCCACATATTGTCTGTAAGTAGGTCTGGGCTATTCGCGCACAGATATATTCACTACTTCAAACTGGGTAAACGCTAACCACTTGTAACTGGTCTAATGAGAATCCCGTGAATCCTAACGGCTGCTAACTAAAGACCAATACTTTCGCCCATTGTTATTCTAAGGTCATTCTAAGTGAACTTAACATCAACCAAACCATTCATGATTTAATACCTTAAAAATATCCTATCAGTGTTCCAGAACGGCCTGATTTGTAAATTATAAAACAACTGAAATAGTAATTGACCATATATCATCAGAAGTGTTAAAAACCACTTGAGTGCGTGCAAAATGCCATTGTGTATAATTCACCTGACAGTGCAAGCCTAGAATCTTTTAGAAACACTCCACTGAAGAGTGTCAGTTGTCCCACGTAAAGTCCAGACTAAATATTGCTGTCCCATTCTTCTTTAGTTTAGTAGTATTATGGAAACCAGTCACTTCATTAAAAGTCAGTCATTACTTAAACACATTTCGCTGTTTAACAGGGTTAGACTTATTCGTGATAGAACTACAATGCAACGTCGAATCACCAAAGGACTACTGGTTAAGCGATCCAGTTTATGTCCTAGTAACAGTTACAGTCATAACCGTTTCATAAGCTCCTCTACCCCTCACAAAGCCGAAAACAGTTCCAATGAGACTACTGGTCAAAAGATCTGGTCCATGAATAAAAAGGCTGAAACGACTTGTACCAAATTCAAACACTCAACAATATCCAAACCACAAGTCATTTACACCTCCGTAATACACCAGCATTGTAGTAGAGATAACTGAAAATACCTGGTGGTTCCGCTTGACAGAAATTCTCCTAGGAAACGTGCCACATTCTCTAAACATCTGCCCACAGTACCCAACCGATTTAGTAAGCAACAAAGCTTGCCCAGTACTACTTCTACGCAAGACGTTACTAAACTTCCCAAAGCAAAACTCGAGGATGCCCAAGATTCAGGACATACACACCAAAAAACCTCCTTGAACCCTGACCTTAGGCACTTCCCCGTTACTAACCTACAGTCTACTGTTCCCTTGATTGCGCAAATAGGCTAGAATTCCAAGTGATACAAAGAAGACCCATAATGCCAGCCGTTTTGGATATCCATCTAATGTTCCTAGACACAACCCTAGCCGAACTAAGTTGTACGACTCCTGGGTCCCTCGTTCGAAACAAGCACCTTAGGCTTTTTAACCGCTCACTCCCCCTCAACAGAGTTGTTCTGCTGTCTCCAGCTGTTGAAGGTGATATTCCAAACCTTTTCAAATCATCCTATATATGTATATATATAATGGGTGGCAATCAATCTTCGCCACAAACAATCCCTTCTAATTGTAATACTTTTTGTCGGGTGATTCCCACTAACCACTTTACACATCTTTCACCGGCTTGACCCACTCCACTCCACTTAATCCAGGAGGTCTTCGAAAAGATCAGTCCTTCTCCCCTCTAGCAACTTTTGTACTTCGGGTTTCGTCGATTAACTCTGAACACTGATTTCTACCACATTTAACCTCACATAAATTCTCTCACCACATCAATCTCTGAATACTTCTCTACCACCAATTATATAGGTCAAAAATCAACCGAGCATATTTATGAAGTCTATATTCCTACTTCCTCCTCTTCTTCATGTTACGCAGGAAACAACCCACTTGATGTTAATCGCACATCCCTAAAAGATAAGTTTTCACCCCATGTGAAACTAATGCTAATTAATTCCTAATCTGTAATCGATGAAATGAATCACCTACACTCCCTGGTTATTTTAAAAACTCATTCACCTGTCCTGATTAACGAGGATTGGTTGTCCCCGATGTCTTAGTCTCGTACATTCTAACGGACTCTTATGAACTCTTTCTCGATGACCGAGGTTCTAAAAAGGATGTTTGTCTTATCTATATATCTAGAAACATCAAGGCAGAAATTTTTTACTGACCCTGTTCTTAATAAAATACCTGATCCGATATGACTCACTGTGCACGCCCACGAATGAAAAATACTGATTGGATTTCGAGCTCCAAACACTCATCGATCAATTGAAATTGCTACTGGTAAGTGATTTGTCAGGGCTTCCCCTCTTCAGTTCGTCTGAACAGTAATCTTTGGTGATGGAAACCCCTATGGAATCAACTGACAGAGACATTCTGGTCCAATGAGTTTCAAAGGCATTCTTAGTTCCCCAGACACTGGTGTTTGGCAGCATCATATGCACCTGCCCACAGGAAACGACAATATTTTCCACTTGGCGTTTTTTCCTAATGTCACATCAACATCTGTGGCGTTCCGTAAAAAGTTTTGCAAAAGTGACCATAAAATAATCCTGTGCACCCTAACGTTTCTGGCTAAGTGTGAAAAGTCCAAAACGATAACGAGTTATCAACATAGAGACTATTGACATGCTGACTGCAAAAGCTTTCAATTTCTAATTCATCACTCCGACTGGACTACGTTCCTTACTAGTCTTGAACTCTCTGAAGTATTATATATATTCATTGTCACCATTAGGTCTGCACTATTCATCACTTTCACCTCCAAAACGTCTTTCAAAACAGTTACTCATTACATCACCGCTAAAACCAGGACTAAGCTACATGAACTAAAACGAGCATTTTGTATATCTAAGGACTTTAGAATTAATTACCAAGTCTCCGCTATACTTGGGGATGTGTAAAACTAACATGGATAGCGTAAGCAAACAGAAGAAATTAATGCACTCGCTACTGCATGTAAGTCGCAAAACCTCTGTCGTCTGTTTAAGAAACGCATAAGAAAGAAAGCAGACTGCAATATTGATTCTATACTGCATGATAGAGAGACTTCTGATGACCATAGTTTCTTTTTCAATCAGAACACATCTCTTGACTCTGATATTAATGTTAACTATATCTGCAAGAATAATCCCAATACGATCAACTTTGACATTAGCGATTTTCAGGCCGTTACCAAAACCTCCAAACCCAATGCAATCTGTGGTGTGGATGAAATTCTATCCATACTCTTTAAAAGGTCAGGACCAACCTTTCTAGCACTTTTGCTTAAAATATTTACTTTACCCTTAGAGACTATTATTTACCCCAAAACCTGGAAATCAACTTATATTGTCTCCAAACATAAATCTGAACCGAAAAACTTAATCCAAAAATATATACCAATTAATACCACCCACGCGTAATGGAGAAATTGATAAAATTCATCTATCTGATCACTTATTCACAGAGGGTCTCACTGATCCTTCACAACATGGCTTCATCAGAACTAGGTCATGCACTATATGGGTGATAGATTTCTTACTTGAGCGACCAAAAACCACTAGTTATCGTGTTGTATTTCGATATCAAGAAGGCTTTTAATAAGGTACATCACAGTCTCTTGATCATCAGACTTCAGTCCATCCATATTACTGGCCCCTATTGCAATGGATTAGGTTTTTTTGACGAAGAGATAACCAATCACTAAAATTAGTCGCCCTCAATCTCCAGCTTGACTAATTGCCGGCGGTGTTGTTCAGGGCAGTGTCTTGGGTCCACCGCTCTTCATACTTTATATCAACAGCGTATGCAGCTGCTCCAACACTGACGAAACCTACGTCTACGTTGATGACCGCGCACAGAGTCCGAGTACAGTGCCTAAATTAATTTCAACTTGTCCAAATAAAAACCAACTCGGATTACGCTTCATGTATCCAGAAACCCGGCTGCTGCTTCCCGCGGTCTCACTGGTGTACATATAGTATTAAGACCTAGGTCAGAACTAGCGATTTTAAACTGGATCCCGATAGACATTCGCTTATGGTTTGTCCGACTTAACTGGACGGTACGGACTCGGAGAGATAGAGACACTCGTCGATGCCTCTTCGTCATATCTGCCTACACTCCCAATGACTGCAGTTCAGGCAATGTGAAAGATGAGCTTTTGGACCACCTCCAAAAAGTTAGGCTCTCTGATATAGTATTATTGGCTGGTGACTTTATTGCTCAAGTAGGAAAGGAAAAAGACCTGTGTGTATCTTATTGTGTCATTGCTCAGAGATCAGATAAAGGAGACCGTCTGCTGCAGCTATGCTCAGACAATCTCCTCTTTTGAGCAAACACTAACTTTAAGCATAAGGAAGAACATCTTTTGACCTGGCGACCCCGGAAGCTAACTCAATAATGGACCCAATTAGATCACATCGCTATAAGCCATCGGTGGAGAGTCTTTGTTGAAGACTACCGCTCATTCTGGAGCACTTGTTTACACTCAGACCATGCTCTAGTGCAAGCGCGTCTTTGTTTTCGACTTACCAGACGTAGGAAAGATACCACACCGAAACCTCTAAGGATTTTACTTAACGGTAGCAAGGCTAAGAATACATATCAGGAACAACCAAAAAAACAGTTAGGTATCCATTCACTAAGTGATGCCCACCATGAGGCAGCTTGGAATGATATCAAAAAGGCTGTGGAAACAGCAGTGAAATCTTCTAGTAAGGTAAACCATAAGGTTAGGGAGAAGCCGTGGAGTTCAGTAGCATCTATCGAACTGGTAGATTCTCTTAAACTCATCCTACCTTGGTTTGAACATAAGAAAGAGAGAAGTGAGCTTAAGCGCAAGCTGATAAGAAGGCTACGCAATGGTTGCAAACAATGGTGGGTAGCGAAGGCAAGAACGAGATTAGAGGCTGCGTCTATAGGTTATAGTATAAAACTTGTCCGCCTAATCAAGGAAACTGGTCAATCTGTTAGCGAAGCTGTCTCAGAAAAGAATGGTCGTGTCATTCATTCTCAACCCAAGAGAACACTTCAGAGTTAAATTCAACTGGCCATCAGCCACTCTTCTGTTGCATACGATCTCATCCTGACTGGCGAATCGATGGAAGTCCTCCAAGTCTTTATGAAGTTGAAAAAGGTGTAGGAAATCTGAAGCTTGGGAAAGCAGCAGGGCCTGAAAGGCTTAACTCTGGGACGGTGGTCCAGTTTTAACATTTTAGATTGATTTACATCTGAGGTAGAATCTGGGAACTGGGCATCATCCCATCTGACTTGTCTCAATCACTGATTGTATCAGTTTATATAAATGAACAAAAGTCATCTTGTGAAAATCACTGAGGAATCAGTCTAACTAACCTAATGTCTAAAATATTAGCCCCAATACTACTTAGACGCTTAACTGGAGCTCGTGAGGAGCAGATCGGAGAAAATAGGACTGATTTTCGACCTGGACGTGGATGCATAGACTATTCGTTCTCTCTTCGTCAGGTCCAGGAATACTGATACACATTTCGACGTCCCACAATAGTTGTATTCCTCAACCTTTAGGCGGCATTCGACTCTGTCAGTCGTAAGGTCTTGTGGCAGTGTCCATCATGTTCAATGGCATATGACATACAAAATACACCGAACCATCCCCATAACAAGTATATCTCCAAAACATCACAATCGCCTCGTAAATTATATATCGAAGAGAGAACACTCAGGTACGTGCTCTTTTTCTCATCAACAGTCGTCCAAATACGAGTGCTCTCTTAGCTGAAGTGACTCTAACCACTTAGAGAATAGTTTTAAGAAGTGGCTTTACAAGCACGTACTCAAATACGAAATATCATCCCCAGCTGTTCCTATTGCATGTCTCGAAACTTGGTTTTTGTTATCATTTATTATCCCTGTTTCTTCTTATCTACCTACATTTCTGTAAGCTCGCACAATTTTAACTACCTATTAAGTAACTTATTTATTTACTTAGTTCTAAAACTTCAAAACTTCAAAATCATAAGTATTTTCCATATATAATTTTCCACATTGCAACCAGCTGATCTCCAACCTGGTAAGTTGATAGCTGCTGGTATCCAGAAACCCTACTGGCCTGTGACAAATTCACTCACTTAAATCAAGGGAAATACAGATTTTCAAATAACTGCCGACTGACTAGAATTAATGTAGTCGAGTGGCTTGACTGTCATCAATTTGACATTACCACAAAATATGAACTGTACAGAATCAGCAATAAGAAAGTAAATATGAATCAATTGGTTTATACTAACTCCCGTAAAAGATATTGGACATAAGAAATGAGCTCATTGGAGAGATATTGGATATTGGATACTGGAAGTTATTGTGAATTGAAACTTTAGAGATAGCTTTAGTCTCAAGGTTGGCTCTATTCACATCTGGTGGTAATACATATTTAACGGTAACTTTGACCCGTTACACTGCCCCATGATATTCGAGTGTTCAAAATAGTGTTCTTACAGCGTTATAAAAACTCAAGGGAAATAAATTATTTCACTCCACAGATTTACTCGTGTTCACTAGTAGAACGGAGATATAATTCGATGTACCCATCGATTTTAATGTTGACATTACTATTCAGATTGCTTTGGGAAATACACATCTTACATGTTCCGAGCGTATATACAAATGCACTATGTAACGTGACTCCATCTCTGTTTAGACTGTTAGTTTATAAAAGACTAATGATAACTAGTTTGCTGATTAATTAACTTCATTTTCCTTTTACTTAAAATTTTGGACTGGTGATGTGGGAGAATTTCCTTGGGGTTTTTAAAAAGATGTCATCAAATTATTGCTAATAATTGGTTAGTACATTTGTTAAAGGTTTCTGAAGAAGTTTAAAATAGCCCCATTAAGTAACTTCCTCTACCTTTATTCAGACAATAAAAGTGGGAGGAGTTTACTTATTCCTCTTCAGAATAGTTTAAAGAGCTCTCAGTGATTTTTTAACACCGACAAACGTTTCCCATGTTTGTTGTTAGACATAAGTAGATTTATACCCTCTCGAAAATTGGAAATGAATTTCCGCCATAGCCTTGTCGATTTCTAGATCCAAAAATGTAGTGTATACGGCCCCACCTGAGTCATCCAAGGAGCTACTGGGGATACAGAATCATCCCTAGGTTTCCTTAGTGGACTTTCGCGAAACCAAAGTTTTAGAACCCCTATGTTATTTTTAGTCCCTTAAATTTAAGGATACACGTAACATCAAAATTCTTATGTTGTGTGCCTTCAACATTTCTTGTTTTTTCGATAGTATGGTTTATACTAATTCCTAGTCTCAGTCAGTCAACTACAACGTAGAACTTCGTGCGTACGTACATCAGTTCAAGTCGTCATACCATATTAGCACAGGGAGATCGAATTGGTAATTTAAATCCCATAGCAGTAGAAGTTTTGGTGGTAATGGAAAAGATTCAGGTTTGAAGAAACTATTCAAGAAATATAATCCAGCGATATGAATTTAAAAAGCGAAAAAGTTCTGAGCTCATGAGAGAAGACAAAGAATTCTCAGTCAGCGTCTGCTGAACTGATATGTGCTCAGAAACCCATCTTTTCTGGCTTTGAACACGATAAGTAGCGGAGGTAGCTTAAACACAGGCTGCTAAAAATCCTGCGCAACGATCACGAGCATTTAGGGTAACGAAAGCAAAAACGATGGAAAAGGCAGCGGCGATACGTAATAGTTCAGACTTATCAAGGAAACTGGTACGTACATACCAAGTTATGCGTTGCTGCTGGCTGACTGACAGTCTCAGCATTTGAATTTTAAATGTTCACAATAATGATAACGGATTTTAGGGTCTATTTTTTCACTTAAAATGTTCTTTAGCCTGTCTCGTTATCTTGGGTAGATAACCATTGCGTCTACTTCAGAACATGGGAAATTTCGGTAGTAGGGATGTTTTCTTAATTTACATCATCTATCCTCAACAAAGGACCAACCATTAGGGGCACCGCTAGCTGAAGTTCTCAAGGATAATGGTCCACTTCTAGCAGTTAGATTGACGGATACAGGAGGCTCGATTAGCTTTTCTAACTTGCGTCACTTATGCTGTAGGCGAGATATCCGTTTGATAACCAAAGAACGAGTCTGCTGCGCGACAGTTCGCTCCGTACTACTATATGGAGGTGAAATATGGTCATTCACAGTAGTTATTCGTAGGTTGCTGGTTTTCGATCATAGGTGTCTCTGAAGCATTGCTCGTTTATCGTGAGACAGCTGAGTGAGCAATGCTGTTGTTAGGAAACGGGTACTAGTTAAGGATGGCAGATCAATAGATGAAGTATTGAAACTTCATCACTTGAGGTGGTTGGGACATGTGTTACGTATACCCAACCCTAACTGTCTCGACTGGCGTTGTTGTGTGATGTAGGAGTAGGTTGGGAGGAAGCTAGGGGCGCCAAACCAAAACAGCACAAATCCATGAAGTTAGTGACAGCCGGACCGAGCCATGTTGGTAGGTGTAAACTACCTGGACGATAGTAATCGATGGTCAGAGACTTCGAATGACATGGCTCAAAATCGTTTACAATGACGTGGGTGCATTTGTTCTTTGTTCTATTTCGAATTCTGTTCTTTTGAGTTCCTCGTGACTGTTTTTTCTCGTTCCGAATTGATTCCGCTGTGGTATACTTCTCGAATGATATATTCGATCATTAATCTTTTTGATTACTGCCAAACTTCTGCTACCTCTACTACAATGGGATTTGAATTGACAATTCCGTCTCTGTGCTAATGTGGTATGGCAACTTGAGCTGATGTACATACGTACAATGTTCCGTTGTAACTGACTGACTGAGGACCATCATCAACTAGTTATCGTATTGTATCTACCCCATAAACTTCACAGATTAAGTATGGTTATAATTCGTAATATAAGATTTAAATGCGAATAATTGTTATGTGGTAGCTTTATTAGCGGTAAACGCTTATATTTATTGTTTTGTCAGCTCTGTAGGTTGGTATTCGGCTAAGCAACTGAGATCCTTAATTTATATCAAAACGTATATCCTTTACTGCATGTTCAATAGAGTTGGCGGATTGTATTGTGATAGATTACCCTGAATTTGAGCGTAAGTTCAGAAACCCAATTTATTGAGATAAAAATGTACAGCGATGCTTCTAGTTCATAAAGTCTTTAGAAAAATAAAGGTGTTTGAATTCTACAGCTCCAAATTATCACACGTCTTTTCACATAACAACTTGCAGCACACTTCCAAGACCTAAGCTCCAATCTGCTGCACTTGTCTTTTCTTCCCACACCATGGGCTCAAGTAAGGTGTCGCTCTTCTACTTTTCATCGTTTTTAAGAGCCAGTAGCACTAAGTACAGACAGTTTTTTCGGATGCGAGGTATTAAGGTACAGTGAGTCCCGTTGTTTATGTTCGTACATCATCTTATGGAGTCTATTGAGGCTTATGCTTACAGTTAGTAAGTTGTGGCGTACGGCTTGGTACATATGAATATAGGTTCAAGTTGTCACATCCCGTTAGGACAGCAAGATGATTACTGTTATAGTTTGGTTGGTTCGTAAATTGTCAGTGGTAGCCTTTCTAGACCAAAGCTCTTAGTCCTCTTTATTGTGCATTTCAACTCACCTATATCTACCTAAATCTCTGTATTTTAGTCTCAAGTTTAAAAGTGGTCTGCAATTTTAAATAGTATGGTTTAAGTCAACTGCTCTTTCGCAACTATTCAAAGGTGTAGGTTGTTTCGATAAAGATTTAAAATAATTTATGTAAATGATTTCCCTCAATCATTTGCTCACTTAATAATCATGAATGTTTTTATGGTATAGTCCTCATCATCTAAAAGAAAAGTGTTTTTTCTCAATAATGCCTTGATTCTTACTATAAAATGGAGATTTCCTTCCCGTTTTGTAAATTGGATCAAAACAAACTACATAAACACAGCATAATCTACATAACCAGCAAGGTTGAATTGCACAACTTTGTTATTCCCTGCTTGGAAAGCTAGTACGTTTTTGTTGCATCTTGTTATAAATATCACATAACGGTAAAGCAAGCACGCCATCCACATCAGTGAATAGAACAAGTCATCACCTACAGTGAGGAGATCTAGACTTGAGAATCTAGTAGTTTCCTCGAAGATATAATTTGAATAAGAAACCTAGAAATACCAAAAAACAATTGTAATGTGATGACTACGTTTTACGTATTGATCTCAGCTGTGTCATTCTGTTCTTCAGTTCATCTGGTCAAGTTCATGATCCTAAGTACATTTTATTAAATAAAGCTTTCTACGTTAGTCAATACAACAAAGATGAAATTACACCCGGAAAAGCATATGTAATATTTTGATTAGCTTCTAATCCTTTCAATAATTTGAAATCTGTTTTAAAAGGTTTAAGAAGGATAGAAAATCTAATTTTACATGACCAAACTTCTGCCTAAGGAAACATTTCAAATAGTAAAATATTAATTACCACTACTTATAAAAGATCACTTAACCACCATATTTCTATATAACCTCATCACCCCGTTTGAAATTTTACAATAATCAATTTTACCGATGACAATGTTACTGCATTACTTTTATTTCTATTAGACAATTAATATAATGTAAGTTTTTACTGTAGGTGTTTTATTTCACTTTTAAGTGCAATTATATAGATTAGCCGGATAATCCCTAATGTAAACCAAAAACTAACATATGAAAAGATAGATTCTTAAAGTTAGATATGTTTTGTTCAAATGCACTGGAATGTCTACTTTTTTCTCTTAGAAAATGATCACTTTTGTTAGTGTTCTTAGCTTAATAATGTATATTTTAACCATCCATACACGCATGTAATTCTAATTTACAGCTCTGTGAATACGTTGTTTATTTTTAGCTTATCTGTGTTAATAATTCCTTATTCGTAACGAACAACAGGATCATTATCCAATGGCAATACTATGAGAATGAATGACTTTCTGCAAGAGCATATTAAATCTGTATCTGGGACAATTTTGGAGCTTATTCAAGAAGGACTATTTTCAAATGTAACAGTTGTTGTCAATGATTATGAATTCAACTCTAACAGTCTGCTCTTGGCTAGCTCTAGTGATTACTTCAGGGCATTGTTCAGTTTTCAGCGAAATTCAGTTAAAGAACCTCGTTTGGAAATCAAATGTGATTACGTTTCACATGTTGGTCTCAGACATGTCATGTTGTTCATCAATTCGATTGGTCAATTCCATGATTCTATTCCTATTGAAGATTACCAAGATGTTTATATTGCATCAAGTTTTCTACAAGTTCACTGTCTTCAAAAAATGATGAGTTTTCGTTTAGAAGGAACTCTCTGTACAGATAATGTGCTCAGTAAATGATAGCATTGTTTCATGCAAATGTTTTTCTACCATATTTTAAATCTAATTTTAATTTTTGATAAACTTATACTAGATGGTTAACTAATAAACAAACTTAATATGTTTGATTCGGCCAGACCAAAACATGGCAGAAATCCATGAAGTCATTGACTAGTGGACTGAGCCATGTCGGTAATTGTCCACTACCTGGTTGGGGTCTGCGAGATCATAATAATCGATGGTTAGAGACCTTGAATGACATGGCTCAAAATCGTTCTCAATGGCGCCGGTGCATTTATTCTTTGTGTTCTCTCAAACCCTAATCTTCTGGATTCTTCAACACCTCTAGTTTTGACTCTCTAAACTTTTCTCACTGAATCATAATTCTTGAATAGTATCTTCTAACCCTAACCTCTCCGATTACTTCTAATTCCCTTACTACCTCTTCTACTATTGGATTTGAATTGACAATTACATCTCTGTGTGCTGTGATGTGGTATGGCAACATGAACTGGTGTACTTACGTACGAAGTTCTACGTTGCATCTGACTGACTGACTGACTGAATATGTTTGATTAGAGAATTTAACTAGAGTGATCATATTCAGAGACTTCTATGCCCTACACGATTAATCATTGTTATATTTTTGAGCTAGTTATTGGTGTGAATTACATTGCAGTTTGTGTTGATGGTACATATTCACCCGTTCACAAATCAAAGTAAGGAATTAGGTGAATAACCATTTATTATTTTTCCTAACAATTCCTAAGTCAGTCAGTTAGTTACAACGTAGAATTTCACACGTAATTACATCAGTTCAGGTTGCCATACAGCATTAGCACAGAGACGCAACTGTCAGTTCGAATCCCATAGTGGTGGAGATAGTAGAAGAATTGGCGGTAATGGAGAATTCTTAATGTAAGCACTTACAAACGGTGTATACCCTGGAAATGCGTATTTATTTGAAATATCAGAAGGAAAAGTGGCCACAGATGGCCTGTTGAAAGACACTTTGATATTGAAGTTAAACTGTTGCTTAAGTCACTTTTGACTTTATTTGTTTTAATGATACACTCAGTGAATAGCGTAATTTCGAAAACTTCATGAGGGAAGTTGAGATGAATCATAAAATGACTAATAGGCACAAATGTCATCCATTGAGTGACCACCATTTATCCACTTGATATCAACATCAGAAGATGGTGTTGTGTACAGTTTGCACGAATATCAGGTAATCAGTCATACCCAACGTAAAACCTGATAGATATGTGCATCAGCTTTTAGTGGTGATCGAGTCGAGATTGACTATGATCACCACTAAATACTATTAACGAACCCATCCCTGAGAAGATAAATAAATGCAGGTTGAAGAATATATTTCCTTGTGATTTCTTAGTGTCGAAAGAACACCGAAATTATACCAGGAAAGTGGGCGAATTAAAGAGTAGCTACAACAAAAAATGGCAGCAACACAAACAGAAAGTTTGCGCGTAAAGCGTGTTATAAACAAAACTTACAGTTAAACAAACACTGCTACAATTGGTTATAATAATGAATGTTTCTATTAAACCAATCGCGTTCTCTTCATAAAAGTGGATCCACTAAAAGTTCAAGTTGCCACACCTCATCAGCGCAGCAAGATGAAATTGTCAAAATCGATCTTAGAGTAGTAGAGGTTTTAACACGATTAGTTGTAATAAAGATTAGGAAAGTAAGATTCTGAAAAGAAAATGTAGGTTAATGGAATAAAAAAGTGTATAAGGTCATTTAGAGACTTGGAATCTAAGGGAACACCTGCACCCTTGAGAAAGATTTTTAATTATATCATATAGTCTCTAACCGTCGGTTACGATAATCATGCCAACTTCAACCAGGTGGTATGGACCTACCTTTATGGCTGGCTCAGTCCAACAGTTGTTGTCTTCATAGACTGATGCTATCTGTGTATGAATATTTCAGTGTCCATATTTTTAGATAGTGAATATAAAGCACTCATTGTATTTTGAAGCTCAATGGTATACCTGCACCTACAGGATCAGTAGAAGGCAGTTTTTCAAATATTCGAAAAATGAGTTATAGTTATAGTTAACTACTTCTGACTAACCAACCTGAATTATCATTAAAATCGTCTATGATATGTGTAGTTAATTGTTGTCTTATTTCATCCAAAATTTTTGTTTTTATTGACAAAAATTTTTAGAGATTATGAATTTAGCACATTGGTTCGATGATGATCTGTTATTGAAAAAGGCTATATTATTTTTATGGCATGAATTTCAACTAATCGATTATTTTTCAAGTGATTTTGTTAATTTAACTACTAAACAAATTACAAAAATATTTCAAAGTGATCAAATCAATATATCTCAGGAACGTGTTGTCCTAGAAGCATTAATTGTATGGCTTTGTCATGATACAAAACGTCGAATGGAATTTTTCAAAAATAATTTTCTTCATCTTGTAAGGCTACCTTTGGTGAGTAGTTGTTTTTTGCATTGTTTTCGATTTGGATTTGCATTGCATTTTATGACACCGACGTTCTACATCAATCCCAATTGTAATCAATAATTTTCTTATAAACTTGCATTGATTTTCAATAATAATAGTATTATTATTATTATTGTTATTATTATTATTATTATTATTATTATTATTATCATAGTTTCTCAGCCATAAACAGCTAGAGTAAATCGATGCACTAAATGCATCTATATTATACTGTTACACTACTCACTGACCATTGATCATTAGAATTTGAACGGTCCACATGATAGGTGCATTCAATTTATTCTGCTATTAGTTGAAATTTCTCAAATGGAGGAACTGAGAAACGTTTTTTTGTTCCATTAAGTTTTCTATTGAGCGAATCAATATTGTGAGCTCCATTCAACAATAATCATAAAAATGCTTTAGCAATGAATTTTGGCCACAACAAAGCTTAACTTCAATGCAACAATAATAACCTTGACTACAGTGTTATTTGACTCAGGTTCAAATCTTTGGACGATATTATTCCCCGCCCCCTTAAATTACAGCCACATATTATTGATGCGTGTCAGCTAGTTCACCGTTTTTTGTATACTAATCCTAACCAATCTATAATGCCAAAATGTACAAATATCATTGATACTCAATCAATATAATTTATTTATTGTCTTGCATTTCTGAAAAATAATACTATCAACATTTTGTTTCAGTTATTCTATTTATATAAAGTTGTATATTATCATGCTGAAGTGAACTAAAAAGGGTGGATCATTTTGTGAAATAGTTGACTTTTTTTATACCAACATTACCGCATTGAATATAGTATACTCATAGTTTGTTTGAATGCAACCGACAATCAGGGTGGATTTGATGCAGATGTAAGGGTGCGGATCGGCAAAGCAAGGGCTGCATTTTTGAAATTGAAAAATATCTGGAACTCTAAACAAATATCAATCAACACCAAAATCAGGATTTTCAATACAAATGTCAAGACAATTCTACTGTATGGAGCGGAAACTTGGAGAACTACGAAAGCCATCATCCACAAAATACAAGTATTTATGAACAGTTGTCTTCGCAAAATACTTCGGATTCGTTGGCCAGACACTTTCAGCAGCAATCTACTGTGGGAGAGAACAAACCAGATTCCAGTGGAGAAAGAAATCAGGAAGAAGCGGTGGAAGTGGATAGGACACACACTGCGAAAAGCACCTAACTGCGTCACGAGACAAGCCCTCACATGGAACCCTCAAGGCAAAAGGAAAAGAGGAAGGCCAAGAAACACACTACGCCGAGAAATAGAGAAAGATATGAGAGGAATGAACAAAAAATGGACAGAACTGGAGAGGGAAGCCCAAGACATAGTTAGTTGGAGAATACTGGTTGGCGGCCTACGCTCCATTGGAGGGTAACAGGCGAAAGTAAGTAAGTAAGTAAGTTAGTAATCATCATTAAATAATGTAGCGTAATTTAATTCCCTGTTAAATTTGTTGAATTTGATTGTAGGTGTAATTTTTAATCAATCAGCACAAAATCTCTGATAATCATCATTTTAACATAATGGTAACACCCCCCATACATAGAATGCGCTAGTCTGCATTAACACAAATTAGTCATGATTTTTCTTTATGCTAAAATTAATCAAGCATATGCTTGCGTTAAACTATTAAAAAAACTCTTCTATCAGCATCTGTTCTGTTCAATTTTATCAGTAGTCGATTAAATATTATAAATAAATGCACTCACTACTACTATTAATACTGCACTCGTTTTTTTTCTCTTCTATATTCCCCTCCCCTCCCCTCCCCCCGCCACCCTATTCAAAAGATAACAAGAAATGAATTAATGGAAATTATTAATAATCCAAAATATGCTCCAGCTAATGATGCTTTACAATTTTTATTTTTGGCATATCATTCATTAAATCAATCATCATTTTTAAATGAATTAGAAAAATTTTCAATACCAACAACTACTATGATTGGGAATTGTCAATTTTTATTCAATTCACTTATAGATTCAAAACAATATAGAGCAAGAATTGGTACTGTATATCGTGTTTATGGACTTGGTGGTGAAAGTGATTTTAATAATGTAAGTATGCTGGATTGTTGTCACTACCATGCTCATGATAGTAGGTGTTTTAAGGCGTTTTCTTTTTTTTTTTTTGACTATGGTTTAATGAACTACAAATCAGCTTCTTTTCATGACTTCTCTTCCTTGTTTTATTTTTAGAATACTTCAGAATCTTCTAGATCAGAATCTAATGAATTTATGGTATATAATGAAGATTTAAGCATTGCCACTACATATACACCTCCGTATGCTGCTTCAAGAGTTCATCATGGTGTAGCTGCTTCTCTTAATTGGATCTATGTAGTAGGTGGTGAATCTGAAGAAGGGGAATTATTAAGCCAGTAAGTAATGAAGAATTTTTTTCTTAATCATACTCTACATACTTAATTTACACAGTACATGTTTTATTTATTTTAGATACATGTAATTGTTGATTGATTGTTGTTGGCGTTTGACTCAGTTGATTGTGAGGTTCTGTGCTAGTATCGACGAAGTACATTAACCTTGTACAAGCTCTCTACTCGAGCACTACCGGTCGAGTGAGAGCTTATGGCGAACTGTCACCGGAATTCTCTACTTCAAGTGGTATCCGTCAGGGCTGTCCGCTCTTACCATCCTCATTTAACTTTGTCATTGACATGCCCTTAGAGACGATGCATCATATGTCTTCTCAGGAGTTGACCTTCTATCATGAAATTCATTTGTTGACTTATTGTACACAGATGATATAGTTCTATTTGTTGAAGACGCTAACAAAATAGTCTTTTGAAAACCTTACGCAACAATACAAGCATGTTCGGGTTGCGATTCTCCCCACTCGAAATGTAAAATGTTGCTTCAAGATTGGCTTGCTTCGGTACCTGAACTAGTGATACTGAGTGAAGTGGTTGAGCGTGCTGACCGCTTCACTTATCTCTGGAGTCTCATCAGTGATGATGGCTTGGTGTGTGACCGAATCTCGGCAGGGATACAGAAAGCTCGATTGGCTTTTCCTGACTTGTTTCACTTAGGGCGTAGGTGAGAAATTCCTTGTCTCCTATTTTCTCTTTTTAAATTCATTTCACTGGTATATACAAATCCATGAAGTCACTGACAACTGAACTGAGTGATATTGGTAGGTAGGTGTAGGCTACCTAGGGTCCGCGAGACGGTAGTAACCGATGGTTAGAGACCTTGAAGGACATGGCTCAAAATCGTTTGCAATGGCGCAGGTACATCCACTCTGTGTTCTCTCAATTCCTAATCTTAATAATTCCTTATCACCTCTATATTTCTCTTTCTAAAGTTATCTCACTGAAGTATACTTCTTGAATAGTATCTTCGAGCCTTAATCTTTTCGTTTACTACTAATACTTCTACTTCCTCTACCTTTATGAGATTTGAATGGGCAATTTGATCTATCTGTGCTTATGTGGTATGGCGGCTTGAACTAATGCACGTATGAAGTTTTGATTTGTAAGTAACCGACTGATTGTTTACTGATTATTTAAATAAGTAGAGATTCTAAGTATATCAAAAATCTAATTTAATTTTATTTAGGTTTTTACTTGCTTAAATTATACTCGTTATATATCGTTTCCTGTTGTCTTCCATTGCTCGTCAAGTAGATAATTTGTGCATATATCAGGATATCGATGCATACTGGATATCTAGGTGGGCTTTTTAAGCACCTTTAGGTTTCAACCAGTAGCATAGCATATAACTCATCTTATTGGACTATCTCCTTTCTGTGAGATTAAATTGTGAAAACATTACCCTTGATTTATATACCACTGATGATCACTGTTCTTCTTCTCATCAGAAATAATTGGCTATACTGATTACAGTTTGAATAACTACGCGATCGAGTTGAATCAAAGTTAGTAGCTTTGCTGTCAATAACGGACACTAGGATCTCAATTAGTAGATAGAGTCAGTAAGGCAAAAGATATCAGAAAAAACACCTTAGGATTCTTGTGTTGGCAGATCGATATAAAGTAGTTACCTCTTGTGATTTCACTCAAGTATCTGTTCCATACTGGATAGGATAAATTTGACCAAAATCACAGAGAATAATTTAAGGTTGTATAAATCAAGGCTTTCTTCAATTCTTCAATTAGAGTTATGCAGATTAGTGTTTTTTGCACATTGAAATCATCTATTGAGAAGACTTGATCAGCGGAGTTCAGCTCTGTAGGGTGTAGGCAGTAACTACCAAAGACAAATGAGTGAGGGCGCGCAAAATCTGTAGATTGATCAGAGTTAGACATTAACGCCGTTGGTTGCCGGCTCAGTGGTCCAGAGGTTAGGCGTTCGCGCGCAAGACCAGAAATCATGGGTTCGGATCCTGAGAGGTGCAGAAGTTGTGGATGCACGCTGTTGATGAGTCCCATACCAGGACGAAACGACCGTCAAGTGCTTCCAGGTTTCTAACGGTGGTCTAACAATGATTGATTGATGATTTCTCCAATTCGTTGAATTTAGTTGTGCCCTATTGTTGCCCATTGTTGCATGAAAGTAAGGTTGAATTCCTGAACATGTATTTAATCCTAATTAAACATTCATCCAGAGTGAGAGGATCGATCACCTACTTTTCATCACATTCTCTGGCATAGTTCGTATTCACAGAATACTTTTGAAGTTTGTAATGGCGATGGATATCTATTTCTCAGTGACAATGAAGTAGTCTAGAAAAAATCTGTGAATTAGGTTACGATTAAATGTCTAGGTGGATTGCTAGCTTCATTCAAATAAACTTTTCATTCAGACATCCAACTTTTGATGTATCACGAATCGAAATAACCGATTATTTCCCTGCAACAATTTTACTGAGCTAGCATATTGAAGTCTAAGTTTTAGCTTAAAATTTATTTACTACTCGAATCACTGTTAGTAGGTAAAACGTATTTCAACAATTTCGACTTTGAAATTTGATACTACTTTTTTGTATCATTTTTCTTACTTATTTTTCAAAAACCCTTATTTCTATAAGGCATTATATGAGTTTCGCTCATGTAAACTTGAGACCAAGGGCTCCTATTGTGTTATTGCATAAATTGCAACCATGAAAATGGTTCTACTTCATTTTAGCATGGCCTCTAAGAGTAGAATACATTCGTAGGTTAGTAGTATTCGATTATACATGTCTTCGAAGCATTGCTCGTATATCCTGGGACAACCGAGTGAGTAATGCTCTCTTTAGGAAACGCGTTCTAGTTAGGGATGGCAGATCAATAGACGAAGTAGTGAAACTTCATCAGTTGAGGTGGTTGGGACATGTGTTACTAATGCCCAACCAACGACTGCCCTGACGATCAGTGCTGTGTGATGTAGGAGTAGGTTGGAAGAAAGTTAGGGACAGCCAAATCAACACATTGCACAAATCCATGAAATCAATAACTAGTGGACTGAGTCATGTTGGTAGATGTAGACTACCTGGTTGGGGTCAGCGAGACGAAAGACACCAATGGTTAGAGACCTTGAATGACATATTTCAAAACCGTTTGCAATGGCACAGGTGCATTTATTCTTTGTGTTGTCTCAAATTCTAACCTTCAGAGTTCTTCATCACCTTTATATATTTCTTTTTAATGTTTATTCCACTACATTCTACTTCTTGAATAATATCCTGGAACCCTAATCTTCTCCATTACCTGGTAATACTTCTACTATCTCTACCACTATTGAATTTGAACTGGTTCATTTTTTATTGTTTAAGTATCTGGGCAGCATCATCGACGAGAAAGGTGGATCGTACGCAGATGTGAGGGCGCGGATTGGCGAAGCGAGGGCTGCATTTCTACAGTTGAAAAATATCTGGAACTCCAAACAACTTTAAACCAAAATCAAAATCAGGATTTTCAATACAAATGTGAAGACAGTTCTACTGTATGGAGCTGAAACATGGAGAACTACCAAAGCCATCATTCAGAAAATACAAGTGTTTATTAACAGCTGTCTACGCAAAATACTTCGGATTCGTTGGCCAGACACCATCAGCAACAACGAACTGTGGGAGAGAACAAGTCAGATTCCAGTGGAGGAAGAAATCAGGAAGAAGCGGTGGAAGTGGATAGGACACACACTACGAAAAGCACCTAACTGCGTCACGAGTCAAGCCCTCACATGGAACCCTCAAGGCAAAAGGAAAAGAGGAAGGCCAAGAAACACACTACGCCGAGAAATAGAGGAAGATATGAGAGGAATGAACAAAAAATGGACAGAACTGGAGAGGGAAGCCCAAGACAGAGTTGGTTGGAGAATACAGGTTGGCGGCCTACGCTCCATTGGAGGGTAACAGGCGAAAGTAAGTAAGTAAGTATCTGCTACGAGTGTATGTCTCACACCAGTAGTTCCCTAATTCAAAGGTTATGTTATACAAATAAATATACTTGTGTGAATGAATGAATTACCATTTGTACTAGTATTTACATTATGTTTAAAAGTTTTCTGACCTTTTTTTTTTAAAAAAATTTATATAACATAACTAACATATCATATCTCTTTTCATTTTTTTTACTTTCTTCTTTCCTATAAAACATTATTTTAGTTGTTCACGTTTTAGTTTAACAGATCTTGTATGGCATACAATGACTGAACTTGACTCGCCTAGATCACATCATACATTGATATGTATTGAAAATTATTTATATGTATTTGGTGGTTATTGTTTAAATTGGGCAACAAATTATTCACCAGCTAGTGATTCAATTTTAACTTATGATATTTGTACAAATCAATGGAATAATTCACATCATAAATTACCATTTGGTTTAGTGGATACATGTGGATTATTATTAACACATAAAGGTATATGTATATTTTATCTTTAGGAAATTAAATAGTCGAATAAAAGTCTGAATTTATAATAGTGTATTTAAATTTTGGAATTTTTTTTCTGTTAGTATTTCATTTTCCTTTTTGATAAATATACTGCTACATAAATTGTTTGTTAGTATTTAAGCCTAAATTTACTTTTGAATTAATACTTCATACATTTCAATACGAACTATGTATGGTTTAGAAACTGGACTCAAGAGTACAAAGTATCCTTGTACGTATATCAGTTCAAGTTATCATACCACATTAACACAGAGATGTAATTGTCAATTCAAATCCCATAGTAGTAAAGGTGGTGAAAGTATTAGAAGTTATCAGAGAGATTAGGATTAGAAGATGTTATTCAAGAAGTATAATTCAGTGAGGTAAATTAGCTTCGGTCGGGAATAAGCCACTACAGATGAATGTTTCAAAGTTCAGATTAAATTTCTAGGAAATTGTTACACTTCTCAACGGCTTCAATGAAATAATTTCCAAAACGTTATACTTATGTGTATAAAAAATTAACAACTCGCTCTATGAACAACAAATATAGCCCTTTTCAATTCTGTTGATAACAATTGATTCCATTAGAAATTGTATGATCAGAGATGGAATTGTGAGTTTGAGTGGTTTTTCGTTTTAACACAGCATAGCTGTAGAGTAGTGAGATTATAAACATACCGCGAAATTCTTTTGTCCTCAATTAAATGATTTACTATTGAAATCGATTGGAGAACGATCAGACTAAAAGCAGCTGCTACTCAAGGTCTGAAGGCGAAGTCGTACTGCAGACTGCGGTAAGGTGTTTCCCTCGGACAACCAGCATCTGCAGCGATGCTGCCTTCTCACAAGGGAGGAAGGGTTAGAAAAGGTCGACCCTAAAAATGTCACACCTCACCCTACCTCACGGATTTGCGTCTCCGGCAGTAAGGGGTGCCCACTAAGGGCTTTTAAGAGCGGAGCTAATACTCAAAAAACCCTTCATAAAAAGGCCGTGCGTGACCGGCCTCAAGCAGTTGTCCTTAGGACTCTGCGGTCACGCTCCCAGGTCGTTAAGACCAACACTAATCTACCGTCCTTTTCAGGTTCAAGAAATACCCTTCGACGGTGTGGGCAGCCGGAAAGTGACAACCGCCCTCATAACAAGTTGGTCACAAACAAATCCTTCCTACACCCCTTAATATTGTTCGATTGAATCGTTGTCTAGCACTGTGATAGGTGGGTCAGTTTGCACTAAGCCTACTTTGCGAAAAACTTGTTTTCGTACCAAATTATATAATTCGGAAAACAACATTTTATCTTAACTGTCAACCTATTCAGAGTAATGATTATTACATTAGTGTAAAATTATTTACATAGAGGATAAAATGAGCGGGTAGAAAAAATTGTTTAACACTAATCATTATAAAAATACTAATTTTGTGTATTAGTCATTCTTATTTTATAATAATATTCTTTATTTTCACTATGCTTTCTACATATATTTCCTTAATTTTTATATCATGATCAATACCAAGGTCTTGTTATGTTTGCTGGTGGTCTTAAAGAATACGGTGATGAAATGCGTCCATCCGATTGTGTTTTCCTCTATGATCCCACCGAAGAAGATGGTGAGAATTTCAAATTTCTACCGAAACTCCCAATGCCGTTGATTAGTGTAGCATTAGCTTGTGATGCTGCAGAGAATCAAGTATTTCTATGCGGTGGTCGAATGAGTGTGTACGGCTCAGAACTTGATGATATTTCAAATAAAGTATTTTGTTTTAAATTTAATACAGTAAGTTTTTATCAATTTCTCATCGATGATGATGATACGCTTACGAAATAGTCCATTTTAATTAATTATTTATCTATACTGCTGTTTTTCAATTTTTTAGTACCTATATTAAGTAGTTTATTGTGTTTGTTTAATATTATTTAGATAAAAATTGAACATATATATCTTTGTAATAAAATATCATTTACATTTGTACATCAAATTGGGCACTTGACTTTTAAGCTTGCAGAAAAAGACATTTCATGATTAATAGTTTATGATAATCAAGAATATTAAATCGATTGGTTGATTGCTTTTGATGATGAAGCTGTATTCTATGACCTGGATCACATTTGGCGGCTGTCAATATTGACTAGATAGATATTTTGAAAGCTTCCTAAAATAATCACTCGTTTAAATTACTTTTGGTCGTTGGGATGCTTAACAATAGTTAGTTAGCATAGGTGAGTGAACAGCCTAAGCAAAATCGTATAGGCAGTAATCCGCTGTCAATAACATTACGTAATAGATTAACCATGAACTAAAATAATAAGTGAAGGTATTCACTGATCTTTTGATGTTGTTTGGAAGAGTTTGTGCTATTTTTTTTCCGTCTTTTATCTTTCTCCTTGAAATTGTGAGTCGATCATTTTTAGGGCACCTTTAAAAACCTAGAAGCACTGGATTGCCGTTTTGTCCTAATATTGGATTCACCCGCAGTGCATATTGTTATAATGCTGCTACGTAGCTATTCAAATCCTACCGACGTCCAAATTCAAATATTCCAATACGACCCAAATACTATTCCCAAATCTCCTATATATCAGAACGCAACACCGTTGGATGGAGTTGTTTATTGGGTCGAGTACAAAAGAGCAGTAGGAAGGAACGGAAACATGAAGTCTCACAGATAGTGCGTATTTATACATTTAGGTCGAATAGGAAAGAGCATCGAAGTCTGTGGCATTGACAGTTTAGGACGACCAATATGATTATACTCTTAGGATATTTGGTGAATATCCTAACACATATCCATGACCCCTGCTCGCGGGAATCAAACCCAGGACTTTTGGTTTCTTGTACGAACACTTAACCTCTAGACCATTGAGTCAGCATCCAACAGTGTTAATGTCTAACTTTGATCAATCTAAGGTTTTAGCGCTACCTCATCCATTGTCTTCGATAGGTAACAACTACCTCACACTCGACAGGGCCGAACTCCATTGGTCATCGTTTCTCAATGGAACATTCATCGACTCATGAAACTGAAGTCTCTATAATCATATACTGACTTTTATCTATCTGTCCAACCAACAAAATTTTATCTGGAGATCACTGAAAAAAAATGCAATGGAATAAATTTGTAGTTTTCATTAAAAAAGCATTTCTTCTGGTTAGCGTTTTTTTAGCAAGCTACTTTTTTACAGGATGAGATCGCTAGCCCCCATACCTAACCCTCTTTTGTCCGATAACGGGACCGGCTGTAACCCCAGAGTGGCTGCAGGTGGAGTTGTTACCTATCAATAGACTTTTTCATTCTGTTTTCCCGAATGATACTCTTAATATTCGTTTTTTAACATTATCATTGCTGATAAATTTTTTAAAAATCTCGTTTCATATGCATCTTGTGATAATATGATCAAACAATTAAACCGAACTTTTAAATTTGTGCCAAACTCTATGTTCTTTATGACTGACTGTTCCATGAGATGGATTCCATTTTTTGAAGAAAGAGTTTACCTAATGAGCACTATATTTTCCTACTATTTTTTTCTTTCATCTACTCAATTTTCTATGTATCTATCCTGTTTACTGGTTGATTATATTGATAATCATTGATATTTTTTTATTGAGTTCATATTGATATTGATTAGGTTATATGGTTGATGTATGTGGTAGTTAAATGGAGATGTAATTAGTTATCGAGCTTAGATAAACAGGCAAATCCAACTGACTAGTCAACAAGTAATTTCATTTCCTCTTATTGATTTAAACTGTGGATTCGCTGAATGTGATAACTTGTAATTGTGTTGTGGGCTAAATTATTCGCTATCGCTTACTGTGGTTCTCTACTTTTGGTCACGAATCTGGTTGAATGTGATCTAGTCTGTGTGTGGTGTGCCGTTTGAGTATCCAATTTTAGTGGTATTCATAGACTCGGCCACCCATCTAGTCTGTGATGTTAAGTAATTTATTGTAAATCTCCTGTATTATCATAAATTAATTTGGATTTAATCACAATCCTTATCGGTAATTAATTATTGAGTAGTTATGTGCCTGTAATTTCTTTCCATCAGCTAAAAAGTATTAATATTCAAGTTTTTCATATTTTTTTTTAATATTAATTATCAAAACTGTATTATTTCTTTTATTTTTCTTAACAATTCTTATGTGTTCATTGACCTGATTTTTTTTTCAATGTTTTAGAATTGTTGGACTCAGGTTACTGTACTAGATTTTCCACGTTACAATGCATTCTCATTTGTACTATATGATAAATTATATGTCATTGGTGGTATTACTATTGATGAAGTTATTGAAAATACACCTAGTTCATTGTTAGCTTCATTAATCAATGTAGATTATGATGATTCTACTTTATTGGATAGACAAACAACTACTACTACTAATACTGATACTGATCAACATATTCCTCTTAATTTGTTAGAACAATTTTCAGTGGGAAATTATATTCGTCCAAATATTTTACAAGCTCCATTTAGACCATGTCATTTTGCTGAAGGTTGGCAATTACGACCACCATCTTCACCAGTTGTCACAGCAGCGTCCACCTCATCATCATCATCATTATCAACAGCAGCATCAACATCAACATCACATCGTTTGTATAGAACATCATCAACTCAATCACGTCCGAAACGTTTAAAATTATCGCTTGCTCGTTATGAAAATCATCTACCTGTTATATCAAGATGTTATGCAGTGTATTGTATTGCTCCTTATTTAAATTGTATTAAATAAAATGAAACAGTAATCAAACAAAATGTATATTGATGATGACAAGGCTATTTATTGTTAATGAACAATGTCTACTTTAATTTAGTCAAATATTTTTTTTATTTTTTAAACTGGTATCAAACAAAATTACACTTACACACTTTCTTACTATTTTCATTCCATGTGATTTTTGTAGAAATATGTTTATGATTATTATTGTCACTACCTTTTGGTCTTTCTTTAATTTATTATTCTCTTTTATTTTTGTTTTTATTTCACAATTTATTTATTTATTCAATAGTGAATTTTCTATTATTATTATTATTATTACTATTATTATTTGTGTATTTAAACAACATTTATTTCAATATTATATTAGTTATGATGTGTAGATTATTTGTTTTCATTTGAAACTGATTTCCATTTTTTCTTTTTCTGTTGAGAGTTTTCATTGTTAACGATGTTGGATATGAAAAGTGAAATTATTGAATTTTATTAAAAATGTTGTTATCGATTAAATGTACTACTGATGATGTTTGATTAACCAATCTGGCATTGTAGTAGTAGTTCCTATTCAGCTTATTTTATTTTTCCCTGATGATTATTCATATTCAAGTAATTTAATATTTAGTACCATCTGGTATTATAAACAGAAAGTTGGCAAGCTTATATTACCGTGAGTGGTAAGCATCTCTAAGTTTGTGTCTACAAAATGAGCCAATAGTTAGCCAATTGTTAGAGAGATCTTCCATTGTTGACTATTCGATGTGAAAATCGTCAGTCAACTGAAAAAAATAATTGATCCTGAGTTCGTTAAATTTATATGTGAATATTGTGGCAAGCTTGAGCATTTGGAAAAGAAATTTATTCTATGATTATTATAGTTGTGCTATTAAAAGAGTTTTATTAATCGCAGATCGATATATTTTCCACAGGTTGGAATATTTCATCTTTCAATTCAAGGTGAGTGTTGGTTAGGTGTTTTCTTTTTAGTGTCCATACTGAAGTTCAGACACGTTATAATTTCACTTTCTGATGTATATAGATTATCAAGTAACAATGTTAAGTTGGAGGAACACTTGTTTTTCACAAGTTGCCTTGTTCGTTACTGTTTGGATGATTCATGTTGTGAATAATCTTCGTGAAATAGAATATAACAATAATGATTTTTTGAAGCCTCAACATCTGAATATAAGCGCTGTTTGTAGACTTTTATCGCTGCAATATGACAAATATTATGGGATCTATAAAAAACACCATCAGCGGTAGCTTAGTTCTGAAACCTCGGGTTCGAACCCTTGGGCGATCGAGTAATATCACTAACCTTTATACGAACTGTTAGACTGAAACTTGGTGCCTGTGAACTCATACTTAAAAAAAACGAGTATCCTCATATCGATTATAATGGTGGAGTTAGATGAAACTAAGATAGTTGATGTAAAATTCCGATCAAATACTTAAGTACTTGAGGAAAACGCATAAAATGATTAGAATATGTGTAGGAATTGCAATTTTGTAGCATTTTATTTTGTTTCGATGAATTGTCAAGATGTAGATATATACTGGGTATACGTATAACGTAGCTTGGAGCGGAAATTTGTTTAGTATTCCGGAATGTTATTCCATCCAACCATTACTTATAAAACCTCACTTGTCTGTTGCACCTACTTCTTTCATTTCAACTGGGTTGCGTTTCATTTCTCATAAATCAAAAGCATCAAGTCTAATTTCCAAACAAGGAATTTCGGTCACTACAACATAAATGAGATAGTCTGATTAAATGGTTAACTATGAGAGAATATGGCTTATTGCGATTTCCCTAATTAGTATCTGATTACCAACGGTGGTTTACTTTCAACACTATTTTAATCATCGTGTGAAGTATTTGATATCAATTAAAAAATGAATTTTTCGTGATCTCTACAGTATCATGACAAACTTAGATAATCCTCATAACCCTTGAACGACTGATAGTTGTATTGCTTAACGATTTTCTTAACCATTGTGTATTGATTTATGTGGTCTCCTCAAACCTTGAAGGTCCTACACTCTGTCAAACGCGAGATCTTGGGTACTCCTTGTTTAAACGTTATCAAACTAGAATGAAGCAACTTTCTCAAGCCTTCTAACTGTCTATAATCCTTTGGCTTTTGTCAGTTTCTGGTGAAAAACTGACTTTCATTTCATCTTACAAAATCCATTGTACTAAATATTTACTTATTACTTGTTCTCTCCTTAACTATGTCCAGTCTCGGTGATTTATTGATTTTTCGTTACGTTGATTCACCTTAGTTTATTCTTTTATGTAGCCATATTTTCTTTAAGTACTTTGCATTATGCACAGTTTTTCTTAAAAATTTAATTGTTTCTTCATTTTCAAGTGAACATATTCTAGTCTGAACAAGTCTACAGTTTTTCTCAAGGTTACTAACTACTATAGTGAAGGTTGTACATATACTCATCATCGGGTAATAGATGCTGTCTACGAGATTCGCCAACAATCTTCAAATCCAATGGATGCAATAAACTCAGATGATAATTCTACTAAACCCAACTCTAATATACCATCACTGCAAAATTCCGACAAATCAATGCCACAAATTATTAAACGTTTACCGAAAGAGGTAGTCAATCGTATTGCTGCTGGTGAAGTCATACAACGTCCTGTGAATGCAATTAAAGAACTTCTAGAGAATAGTATAGATGCTGGTAGTACAATGATAAAAGTATTTCTATGTGATGTGTTTTTTTTTCACTTTCCATTTAACTATCTCGTTCATTGTTCATTTTTATTAAGCGATAACGTTCATAGTTAGTGTTTAGAAAATTTTCTGATTAAAAATTTGCGTATACTGAACTGAAAATCTTCAGATTGTTCATTAAGTTTGATGTCATTAAAATTACTGGCTATATTAATTCAACTTTCAATACTTTATGTAATCTGATTAATCACCAATTACTTATAAAGCTTCGCCTGTCTGTCGCACCTACTTCTTTCATTTCAACTGGGTTGCCTTTCATTTTTCATAAATCTAAAGCATCAAGTCCAATTTTGTAATCTGATTAATCACCAATCTTATGAATCAGTGCAGTGTGATAAAGGAATGTGAGAAGAGTTAGTCGTGGAGGTAAGAGAGGTATTAGGGGGTGTAGGAAGGATTTGATTATGACCAATTTGGTCTCGTGTGCTGGTACGGGTATGAGGGCGGTTATCACTTCCCGGCTGCTCACACCGTGGAAGGGTGTTTCTTGGGGATCCTGGAAAGGAAGGTAGATTAGTGTTGGTCTTAACGACCTGGGAGCGTGACCGCAGAGTCCAAGGGACAACTGCTTGAGACCGGTCACTCACAGCCTTTTGATGAAAGGTTTTTTTAGTATTAGCTCCGCTCTTGAAAGCCCTAAGTGGGCACCCTTACTGCCGGAGACGGAAATCCGTGAGGTAGGGTGAGGTGTGACATTTTTAGGGTCGACCTTTTCTAACCCTTCCTTCCTTGTGAGAAGGCAGCGTCGCTGCAGATGCTGGTTGTCCGAGGGAAACACCTTACTGCTGTCACACCCCTCTGCAGTCAGTAGTACGACTTCGCCACCAGACCTTGAGGGTGTAAATTATGAGTAAATAATGAATTTGATTGTTTGAGTGAAGGATTGTCAACGGGACTTAGATTTTTAAGTGTTTAAAATTGTATTTCTACGTACCATTGCCTCCCTTACCCATCGATCATTTAAACTCATAATTCTAGTTGTCCAATGTAGAGCCTGCTTCCTGATGAATATAAACTGGCCCACTTCAAGGGAGTAACTATTTTTCAAATCTTATCACCTCACTCATATCACTTCATATGTCTATATCGGACAGTGAAGTTGAGAATATGTTTCATACATTGGTTTTAAAAAAGTAACGTGAAATGCATAACTTGTCATTGCCTAATACGTCATTACTACTACATTTCTAAGTGAGAACTTGTAATTTACAGTATTATTTTTATAACTTCTGTACTACTGCACATAAAATTGCTATTAAACGTAGTTAATTTTTTTTCGCTATCAACCATCAGAATAAGAGCCAACTCATATTGGTCTAACGGTCTAACTAAATTCTAGGGGTGGGGAGCATAAAGATTCACACTTTTAATACTGTAGGATTCCCGTTGACATCTAGTTAGCCTAACTGGCTTATCGTTCCCAATAGATTTTCTTCTTCTTAAAATCCACATCCTGTTCATGTAAAAGTCATCTTTTGGCTTATCGAATTTCTCATTTCATATTACAGTAAGGAACTTGTTTATCGGATAAGTAAATTTTCTCAGAGGTTGGTTCATGCCATAAAATAACTTTGAAACAGTTCAAATGAATTGATCACATTAATATTTCTTAATGATGATGATGATGCCTCAATTGTTGATGCTAAAGAACTATTTTATTTGATCAACAACCTCTATATATGTATATGTTCATTCTGAGTGAATTAATTGCCTTGATATTAACCATTTTATCACTAAATTTTATTGTAGTTGAATAATAGCGAGCAATGATATCCAGTAAATCTATGTAATCCTCTCGTTTTAAACAAAACTATATCTGATTGGATGTTTGATTTGGCGTTTTTACAAATACCAATTGTTGAATTGAGAAAAAATTTAAAAAATCTAGTCAACTCATTGTTTAATGCTCAATGAGACTATAATAAGTCAAGTGACTTCTTGGATGGCCTAACAATGTGTCTTATGAAGGCTTTTATGAAAGTTCTACAAAGTTAACGGAAAGTTAAAGTAGAATAATACAGCTTCCAAGTTCGCTATGGCTTTCTGTGTTTTTTTTTTAATATGGCATCAATTCATTACTTATTTACCATCATAATAAGAAACTAGCTACTGCAGTGAGATTATTTTTGACTTGTGGTCAGTAAAAATACGATATAAATAGCCAGTGATCGAGTATAGGAAACCCCCTAAGTATATTAAGCTATTATTATTATATATAAAATATTTGTTACATCTTAATTTTCTATCTTGATTTCACACTGTGTGACTATACTCCATTTTTTTGTGCTAATAAACGGTGATTCGTTGATCGAAAATATTATATCGGCATATAGTGTTACCTAGCCTTTTGTGAATTCACTGTGTCATCCTATTGTCGGCAAATGCTTTATTATTAATTTTCTTATTACATTAAATTTCATTCATCTATTAATTGGTTTGAATAGAGAAATAAGAAGACATATTTTGTGAGATAGTACCATTTCGTGCTTTCTCGTCAGTCACATACAAGCAACATGTTATTTGTGTAAATACAGTTTTGAAGATAAGGTCAAAATTTCTTATTTAGCATGACATTCACTCACTAGAACCATGGTAAACAAAGGTCAACATACAGTTAGTTGTTTTTGAACACATAAAGTTGGACTTTTCCGACCAATCAAGATAGCTTCGAGTAGTTTCAGTGTGTGTGGGTTTTGATTACATGTCACAACTCTAAAGGCTGATTTTGGGTCAATTTGATGACCACTCATCATTAGATGTTTTGCAATGGACGAGGCTGGGTTTCTTGATCGATTTTGAGATGATGGGCTAGGTTGATGAAACATGGATTTGATTAGCCATTTTGGAATATGTTCCCCTATCCTGTCTTCCAATCGGCGATCTGTCCTCCCTAAGTAACTTTCTCCGCAGTTACATGTGAATTGGTAAATACAGTGGGTTACTTATATATGTTCAACTTATGATTCAGTCGTATTTATCAAGTAGTTATCATATGTTTTGTTCACTCATCTTTTGTCACTTGTTTTACTTACTTACTGATGAGACACTTGCTTTTAAGCTTCACTTGGACCATTCTCATTCATAATTTCATTCTTGCATATTTCTTTTTATATCTCAGACTTTAATGTGAAGCAAAATTAATTTCACTAGGTAATATACTTACCTTTATCCTCCTTTCATATTTATATTTTCTTTAATCATATTCAGCCTGGTGACTGACGAAATCTCAGCGCGGATATAGAAAGCTCGATTTGCTTTTGCCAATTTACGCCGTTTATGGCGTAGGCGAGATATCCGTTCGCTAACCAAAGGACGGGTGTACTGCGCAGCAGTTCGCTCCGTTCTCCTATATGGATGCGAAACATGGCCGGTAAGAGTAGAAGATATTCGTAGGTTACTAGTATTCGATCATAGATGTCTTAGAACTATTGATCGTATATCGTGGGACAACCGAGTAAGCAATGCTGTCGTTAGGAAACGAGTACTAGGTAAGGATGGCAGATCAATCGATGAAGTGGTGAAACTTCATCAGTTGAGGTGGTTGGGACATATGTTACGTATGGCTAACCACCGACTGCCTCGACGAGCTATGTTTTGTGGTGTAGGAGTAGGTTGGAAGAAAGCTAGGGGTGGCCAAACCAAAACACGGCAGAAATTCTTGAAGTCACTCACAAGTGAACTGAGTCATGTTGTAGATGTAGACTACCTGGTTGGGGCCCGCGAGACGAAATTCACCAATGGTTAGAGACCTTGAACGACATGGCTCAAAATCGTTTGCAATGGCTCAGGTGCATCCACTCTTTGTGTCCTCTCAAATCCTAATCTTCTCGATTCGTCAACACATTTATCTTCGTCTTTCTAACCTTATCTCACTGAATTATACTTCTTGAATAATATCTTCAAACCCTATTCTTCTTCATCACCATTAATACCTCTACTATCTTTATCACTATGGCATTTAATTTGACATTTGCGTCTCTGTGCTAATGTGGTATGGTAACATGAACTTATGTACATACGTACGAAGTTCTACGTTGCAACTGACTGACTGACTGACTAATCATATTCAGTATTTATAAAATGCTTAAGCACACTAATCAAATCAGATAGTAAACTTGCATATTTCGACTGTTAAGTCTCAGACTCTAACCCTGTTCTACTTTGGTGTGGGGCGACCGGGCAATATCATTGGTTCTCACGCTTAGAATATATATGCATCTTATCTGAGTACTTGTTGTTTGTATAATCGTTTAAAATATCTTTTTTTTTTTGCATCCTAGTACTTTTTTTCCTTCTGCTTTTCTTAAACAACAGATTACAGTTAAAGATGGTGGTTTAAAACTTATCCAAGTTCAAGACAATGGCTGTGGTATACATCAAGCAGATTTACCAATTCTATGTGAACGCTTTACTACGAGCAAATTAAAAGTTGGTGGCTATTATTATTATTATTATATCTTATGTTTTCCTAGTTATTTTCTTCCACAATTATTTCATTTCCATATAGTTAGTTGTATTGTGATTTCATAGATAATGATGACAAACAAACAAACAAACACTTATCGTTTATTGTAACCACTTAAAGATAGATATTCGATTAGTTCTGATGATTATATAACAGATACTGTTGATCTTTGTATAATAAAACTTGAATAGCTTTGGGAATCCGAGCGTCGCCATGACGCGAGTCTATCGACAGGGATCAAATGTACAATACTGATTTGTGAGATAATTAAATCTAACTTTTAGGATATTTTGTTAATTTATATTCTGTCAAAAATTTTTTTGCATTCAATAATGCTGGTGCAATGAATGGAAAACTTCAAGACCAGATAAAATATAGGTAGAGTATCTTTAACAGAAACAGTTTACTAATAAAATAATAATCTTCAGACTTTTTTATTCATAAAACAACAAGCAGATTATTAAATGTCTTCTTTCACATATCTTCTTGTCGTTAAAAG